GAGTCTTATAAGGTCTTTGGCCTGTCAAGTGTGTGACTATGGCATGACCAGACACTCCCGGGTAACTAACTCAGTAGCATGAGACCCCTGAACTGTATCGCAGGGCCGGCAAGTTACTGGGTATTCGGAGGGGCTACGCGGACAAAGTATGAAAAAAACAGGAATATTCACATTTTCTAACATTTATTTCCCTATTCTGTGGCGTGTGGGCGTGGGTTTTCACATATATGTGGCGTGTATGCTAGGGTTTAAAATTTGCACTGTACTCACTGCTGCAGCGGGATCTCCTACGGCGTCGCGACGCCGGCGTTGGCGTTGGTCCGTCGTTGACGGCATCGGCTGATCGTGGCATGGCCACCTTGGTCGAGCCGAGACGGGACTCTCCTTGACAATTAAGGCCACCGGTCTGAGGGAATCGTCCCTGACGGACGATCGAGTATCATTTACTATTAGGCTCGGAAGCCATCTTGACTTCCGAACCGAGCCGTGTAAAACCGTTTTATTTACGGCACGAGGTCCTGAGAATTGTCATAATTCAGGGAAATTTCCGTCAGGATAATAAAAAGTAAATTACCTGATCGGAGGCAGTCCAACATCCCAGAAACCCCACAAGGGGGGAGGGGGGGTTACACTAAATGGCTCTGCACTTTACGATACCGGTCTACACGGACGCCTGATAACTTCTGTCATTTAGAAGGTTTTTTATCTTTTAGAAGATGGCCACTCGCATGCCTTTTGCCGATCATTCTCCATTTTTAGCTTAAGACTACGATTTTCCTCCCTTTCTGTCTGTATCCCGGTAAAAACGCTCAGTAGCAAGAAACCTCTCGAGCTGTGTCTCAAGGTCGGCTTACTACTGGGTAATCTGAAGGGGCTTCGCGATCCTCATATGCAGTACTGTCACCTGACTAAAAGCTATGAAAATTTTAAGTGACACAGTAATCAAAGGGTGTACACTAATTATGTATTAATAAAAGCTATAGCAGGTGTGGATTGGATTTACTGCCGTACTCAACGGAACTATCTACCTACTCTCTTCTAAAGATCATTCTCTAGCTAATAAATTATCACACTAAAGCTTCATGTAAGCATTTCCAACAAACTCTGAGTTCTATTGAATTTTATGGGTGTACAGTGGGTTTTTACTATGGGGGTTTGACGTACCGGTACTGAACTGCTGCCGTTGATTCTGCTCCGCCGGAGACTACTCTGCCGAAGTGCGAGCGCTCGCCGATGATACTACGTACGATGAGCTTGACGTCAGGCGAACCAAGCCTGACAGGGTGGTAATGTTTGAGTTTACTTGCTAGTGGATCGGTCAACAGATCGACTTGACTTGATGGCGATCTGCGGTCTCCTGGCGTCTACCCTCGTTGACAAGAATCACCAGAGTCCAGGCAAGGCCGGAGTGACTTTGCTGAGAAGGGTCCTCTTTTGCATTTAGAGCCGTCTTGGCCCGAGGAATGCGGCGATTTTGGCCTTGCAAGGCCAAAGCGAAATGATGTCCTTTACTGTTAGGATTAATAGCCACTAAGGACCAATAATCCGACTCGTGTGCTTCTTAACCGACTTCAGAGTATTGCTCAACTGTCTGGATACTGGCACGTGTTGTTCCCTGACCCGGGATATCGCCTCCTCGATGGAATGCAGACACCGGTTAACATCTTTGGGCGTCTCCAGAAGGACACAGTAGTTGACAGTGGAGTCGACACAGTGTTGGAACTGTTCCAAGCTGACACGATGATAGTTGCGTCGGTAAGCATGGAATCTGTTGACGGATGAGCACACTTCGGCCACCACCGGATAGTGATCCGAACTCAGCTCCTGGTGGATCACAGGTTGCGAGATGTTGTCTCCCATGTTGCTAACGAAGATGTCGATGATGGAGTGCACGTCCAACCGGCTCAGCCGGGTAGGAGTGTCCGGCGGCAGGATGGTGTAGTGAGCCTCTTGCAAGTCGTCGTTCAGGATGGTGCCGTTTTGATTCCGCCTTTGGTTGCCCCAAGCTTGATGTTTGGCGTTCAGGTTGCCAGCAATGATGAATTTTCTACGGCGTCGTGTTATATTGACAATATCCCTCCTCAGGTCTGCCGCGGATCCATCCCTGGCATTTGCTTGTTTCGAGCAGTAGGCCGCAATAATGGTGACGGGGCCGCCGGGTGTGGAGACTTCCACTCCCAATGCTTCAAACATTTTCAGCTGAAAATGGGTAGCAGCCGGCAGCAGATGTTGTTCCTGGTAGCGATGACCACTCCACCACTCTCAGAGCTTGTCCGATCCAGCCTCACGAGCCGTAATCTAGGTTAAATAGGTTCATCTCCGGTTTCAGGTGAGTTTCGGTGATGATAGCTATGTCGATGCTATGTTCGTTGAGGAAGTCAGTTAGCGCATGAGCAGCAGCCAATCGTTGATTGAGTGGCAGCGGTGGCAACACTGGAATCTGTCATCGTGGAACCGGTGGGAAGTTCTGATCATTCATTTCCGACACCTTCTTGCGGCCGGGCTGGTTTCTCGTCGATGCTTTCTTCCGGATCTCGATGTACTCGGTGCGCTTCGGGCAGACCTTGCTTGTAGCTTTGTGAGCAGCACCGTATTTGGCGCAAATGGGATCGGCTTCATCGAGTCTGTCGCAGTACTTGGTAATTCTTCGTTCCAAGCCCGAACAGCCGACAGTTCGATCATTGGGTGACTCCACGACTGACCAGCTTGTACCGAACCCACACTATGTGGAACAGGACGCGGATGCCCTGGAGGTCCATCAAAGTTGTTGAGTTCTTCTCAAGGTGCACCAGGTATAGCTGGTTGACGGCCTTGTTGTGGTGGGCCATCTTTGGACCGGCTTCAGTCCATTAGCCACTTGCTTTTCCAAGAGGACGCCTGTGTCCATGTCGTATAGTCCTCGCAGGACCACCTTGAACGGCTTAACAGCCTCGTTGTCGTGGGAGAAGTACTCCACCTGTGCTTGGTTCAGTATGGTTTGTACCGCCTTGTAATATTTCAACGCCGAAACTATCACTTTGTATCCTTCCGTGCACAGCTGGATGGTGCACCGGACACCCTGCGTGATGTAGAAGTTTATTTTTTCCCGCAGTCTAGGAGGAAAGCCCTTCACGTAGAAGGGCGGCATTCTGTCCTTCTTCGGCGGTCGTGTTGTTTCCGTCACCGGTTCTGCACCGTCCTTCAGAACGGAGAACCGATTGTTGTCCAGCAGCTTCTTCGCAGCTGTCGAACTGTCACTGTTGTCTTCAGGCCTAGACCGTTTCCCGGGATTGCCGGCATTCACGCCACCGCGCGATTTTTTACCCATGGCTGGGTCAGCGAGAGCGCCTCTATTCAACGCAAGAAAAAACGGAACAACGCAATCGAACGAACGAAGAGAGCGAGAGAAAAAAAACGTATACTGTACTGCTCAACAGTCTGGCAGCTAAAGAACTGATGATTTTACTACTTACTACTGCCTCTGCTCATTACCACTTCGGACGGCGTTGCATTGGGCCCTGCAGCAAGCAGGAGCAAGTCAGTGGTTAATGTTGTGTTTACATCTATGCGGATAGCGTGATTACCTCTCATCCCAGCAGGCCTGGGTTCAATCCCAGTCGGCGCCGCCGGGATGTTCTGAGGCATAACATCTCTGATCACACTTCGGAAGGGAAGTAAAGCCGTTGGTCCCCAGTTCATGAGTTGATGGGTCGATAGGTAGGGTCCAGGTGTGGGAGCTGCCTCCCTGGCGTCGGTAGCATTGGTGCTCAGCACGGAAAACGACGGTGAATATCAAAAGTCACAGTTACGTTATATCGAGGTATACCTGTAATAGCTTATTTTGCAACTGAAGATTATTAGCAGAAGAATTAAGATTTCACCTGAAATCATATGTACAATGCCAACAATGTTTAAAACAAGTTTAATCACACTGTTTCTAATACTGAATATCAAAAGAACATTTTTATCATTCAGCAATTGATCAATGATCAACATGTCACCATGATCGGTAAACGTCTCAATTAGTCATCTTCATTTATAAGAAGGCAAGTCGTATTGCCCCATTATTGTAGTGCATTTTACTAAATAATGCTTGAGATAATTTATTGATTGAATTCCTTTATTTAAGAGATCTCCGGGAGAGATAATTTAAGCAATACATAACATTCACGCTTGCTTTTAATTTTAGCGAGAAAACACTTTGATTTCCTTAACTGATGCATTTTACCCCAGGAATTCCTATTTAGGATTGTGTACTCAGGGGGAAAAGGGTGTCTAAAATCTTGCAAAAACTGTATACATAGATTATGCCCAAATAACAATTTGGGTTTTATGAGATTTCTGTAGACCTGTAGACTTGTAGACTTGTAGAGTGCTTTAAAACCTCGAAGAATATCGAAATTATTTACATTGGAAAATGCGTTAATTCCGAATTTTGACGAAACTCCAGAATATTGTTAATTATAATCATTGAACTGCTAAAAATGCTCCGACAGACAAACAGGTGCACTATTATAGTTGAACAGAACACAGAAAGCTAATTTTATTCCACCCTGATTGCTGAGCAATCCCCATATCGGATGTCCCAAAAATTCAATTTACCACAGAATCCTGTCGACCAGCATTTTACCAACAACGATGGACCATCGTTCGGCACAATGGCGCCCTCGATAATAAGAGCGAATGTAAATGTGCAACTCCATGTCCTCATTCGAACTATCGTTACCTAGTCGAAAACGCTAAGACAACGGGACGAGCTGTGTCGATAAACAATCCCAATTAAATTTAACGATATTCGGATCGTTCGTAGCAGAATCCTGCTGCTGCTGCTGCTGCTACTACTGCTACTGGCCACTCATGCAAAGCCACGCGGGTACGACAGCCTCTCCTAATTAGGAGCAGCACAGTGTGTACCCAGACGCGTAGGCAATTGGGACCAGGAAATGCGTTTACATGTCATAATTAGAACGAATTCGGTTTACGCTTCCCTTATTCGGCTTTGCCGTCGTTAATGCACTTACCTTTACAGGCACTGCTGAAAAGCTCCTTCTCGGCGGCGATCAGCTTTTCGAACCGATGCTGCAGCTCGATGGACGCTTGTTCCTTGTTTTTGTTCTTCCGCCCCGGGGTGCTATTAATCAGCACTCCGATCCGTCCGAAAATGGGATCTACCCGTTCCTCTGCCAGTTTGATTTGCTTGCCAGCTAGGTATTTGATGAATTCGACTTCCGACGGTTCCACAAATAGCAGAGCCTTCCCACTGTGGCCGGCTCGGGCCGTACGTCCCACCCGGTGGACGTAATCCGCGAGGATTTGCGGGGCGTGATATTGTACAACCAAATCGACACTGGGGACGTCTATTCCTCGGGCAATGACATCCGTGCACAGCAGGACGGCTGATTTGGTACTGCGGAACTCTTTGAATACCGAGCTTCGCTCGATTTGGGTCATCTTTCCGTGAAGTTTGAAGAACGATACCTTTGGTAGGAGTATCGCTTCATTGGAGCTGTCTTCCGGTTCCGATTCCGACTCGCTCAAATCATCCTCATCGGAGCCTTTTTCGTCGTCCGAATCTGGTTTCTTCTGCGTCAAAACTTCAACCATCACATCATAATGGAAGTCCACCAGGTCCTGAGTGGCCATAAACACGAGGCATTTCTTAACCTGTCTGTTGAACTCGTAGGCAATCACCCCACTGAGGGTGACGAGCCGTAGCTTCGGTGGAATTACGATGTAGCTTTGATGAACCGTAGCCGGAATGGTTATCCGTTCCTCCATGTTGTCGATGTTGGTGTTATCGAATCGACGTTCCACGGCGATGTCACTCGTGTCCACGTATTCCGGATCTTTAAGGGTCAGCCCTGCCAGTTCTTTGACCGAACGCGTCAATGTCGCCGACAGCAAAACTGTTTGAACGGTGGATTCTCCCTCCGAGCAATTGGCCTTAATCGATTCCACAATCTCCTTGACATCCTTCTCGTATCCCAGCTCCAGCAGACGATCCGCTTCGTCCAGAATCAGATACTTGACCGCGTTCATCTTCATCGATTCGGTATTTTTCAAGTGATCGCAAAATCTCCCCGGAGTCGATATCAAGATGTTCAATCCAGCTCTCAGTCGTCCCTTTTCAGCTTTCCTTTTCTCGCCGCCACTCAAATACCCGGACACGATCCAAGTGTAAGGCTTCAGCAGTTTCAAAAACAGTTCATAGGTCTGCAAAGCGAGCTCCCTAGTGGGCACGATAACTACCGCCAAAATTCCATCCGATCGTGAAACTTTCACGTCCTGTGAGTGCAAACGCTCCACCAGGGGTAAAGCATAGGCCAATGTTTTTCCCGAGCCGGTTTGCGCTCGAATCAGCACATCCTTTCCTTCCAAAATCTTCGGAATCGATAGGTTCTGCACCACGGTAAGGTGCTTGAAGTGGAGCAGATCTATCACATTCTTCTTCGAATGCGGATGGATGTCCAACGAATCGATCGTCGCCTCGCTGAATACCTTTTCCGTGAGTGGGTGAACTTCCGGCAATTCCACCTTGGGCATATCGTTCTTCATGCGGTCGAACATGTTCGATTTTCTGTCCTTCGTGACTTGGTTGAATTTTTCAGTCAGTGAAAAATCTGATCCGGAGTGAGCTTTCTGCTTGTGGCCTGGAGGTTTCTGAGCGAATTTCTCAACTGCTTTAATCGGTTTCTGTGGTGTAGCTTTTTTCTCCACAATCCTTTCCGCCAGTGGAGCAACTTTCTTCTCCACAACCCTTTCCGCCTGCGGTTCTGGAGGCTTCAACGAAAACGGTGCTTTCTTGGGCTCTTGTGCTTTACTGTTGCTCGGTTTCAGTGCAACCGACGTCCTCTTCCTAGCCACGACCGCCTTTACCGGTTGACTGTTGCTAAAAACCATCGAAAACTTTCCTCCACCGCCATCGGTTCCGAAGGATTTCTTCTTTTTCTAAAACGTTGAATTTTATCACATTATCGTTAGAATTTGCGTCCAATTTTCAGTTTCCTTACCTTTTCGACAACTGGTCCATCGTCGGTGATGAAATTACTGAGCATTAGATCCATTGTCGGAGGAAAGGAAGCACTAGTTTTACTACAAAAACGGAAATTACAACGCACTACGAAATGAAAACACGCGACTTCGCACCAACTGAAAACACTACTGCGAACGCAGAGAATCAAAACAAACGCACGTGCGCCCCAGCAAACGAATGCCGGAATGAGTGGAGAAACGTCAAAAATTCCATCGCATGTAACAGCCCCTGCGACTGCGCTTATTGGATACTGCTCGACTGCGGATGCACAGTGGGATAGGAGAAAAATATATACATTATGTAGCGCGTATATATTTTAGGCTGTGTTCCATTTGGTGAATTTTCACCTAAAAATAGAATGACGTTTGAGTAATTTTTAATTTGCACGGCGTGCAAATAAGCAGGGGTAAAATTATAAAGGTTTCAGTTTAAAAACGGTCAGTTTACCGGCGGTTTTCGGTACTCAATTATGAATAACGGTTATTTAGAAAGTTTATCAGTCAGATGTTAGGTTACGACCGAGGTTACGACCTGAGTGGTGCGGAGAAACACGAAATGGTTGTCAAAAAGAATCCAACTGGAGCTGTCAAAAAGAATCCAACGATCTAGAGCTGCTAAAAAAGATACTTTTCTCATACAATCCCCGTCGGCAGAGAAAGTATTGTGGTCAATGTTGAAAATATTGTCATTTCGGCATTTTTTTACTAATATTCTTCAACAAAAAACTTGCTCAAATACTCGGATGTAAACAATGTAACGAACGAACGAACCTGCACGAACTGCTGAAGGAAGAATGCAAACAAACTTTATAAGAGTCATGTGAGTAGTTTAGTTCACTCACAATCGCCAAAAGTGCAGGAACTCAGCGATGAGTAAATTTGCCTCATGTTTTCCCAGGTAAAGATTGGATTCACTCAGTCTATTGGTACTAATCCGAGACTAAATAAAATTTTCGTCAATTTCCTCATTTTCCGCCAGATTTTTTAGGTTTTCCACAGGAAACCATGAAACAAGTTTACTCATCCCTGAGTTCCTGCACTTTTGGCGATTATGACTGAACTAAACTCAAATTTGGGTCGTTCTCATTCACCGTGGATCTTGCTCTCCCAGCAAATTTAGACAGTTTCTTATGGGAATTTTCGGTGGAGTGAAAGGATAGTACAAAGTCCGCCATGTTTCACGCACAGTCTGACGTTTGCTTATGGATTTTCTCTTAGGAGTAAAGAGCTATAGAGTCGCCGTCAACGCCAATAGTGTTGCGATCTGCAGTGATCGCGAAATTTTAGATGTGTTTTCATTGTCCAAAAATTTAGTAAAATTCTTAACATTTTTCCAGCATGTGGTTTAGTGAAGTAACAATGATAAATACGAGAAAACTCAGCGAATATCATGGTGAAAATCTTTATGTTCTATTAATGAAATTATCGCTGTTTTGTGTAAAACAAGTTGGTTTTATTTGTAAGTTCATTTGATAATAGTATTAACAATTTGTTATTCTAGATCGAGGTGAAATTTAAGTGTATCTCCATCAATTCTATCGTTGCATTCACACAAAATCAGATGTTTTCATTAAAAACTCTAAGCAATTCCACACGCCTTCCTCCGTCTATTCCTGCCAGTGCAGGTCTTACCAAATCTTCAAAAGAGAGTCGTCTCTATCTATTCATAATACCTGTTATCCTTTGCTGTAAAATCGTCTGGGAATGACTGACCATCAGCTGAAAAGGAATCTGCGCACGGCTTACCTCCACGGTGGTTGGTGATTGAATGACTACGAGTTCCTGCGATAGTGCTGAATGTTCGGCACACTGCACGGAGAAGCATGGCTGCTCTTTGCACCCACACATCGTCCAAGCCGGGTTGACACTAGCACAAATATAACATTTATGGAGAAGAGTTTCAGCCGTTTGATTTCATCAAAGTAGACTTTGTTCTAATGTGACAGGTTCTGGTTAAAGAGCCTGAATTTATAAAGAGACGACATCTTATCCATTTGACAGGTCTTCTGCTCGATTGGAATGACTTTTCGTATGACTTTGACAGATAGTCGATTGTTCCAATTTTGACATGTCGTCTCTTTATAAATTCAGGCTCTTTAGTTCTGGTGTAAACAAAATTTTCGATTTCAATTTTATTTGAAAGAGTTTACTTCTTTTGTCGTTTGTGATTTCAAAATCAGTTTCCCCGCCGTTTGGTTGTAATGTAGAAATATACGACCGCCCATGTGCTGGCTGTTTTGTTTTGCTCTGGACGCTGGTTTTGCAACTGGAGATGGTTTCGATTTCCCAAAACCTTAGCAATGCGGTTTTGAAAGGATAGTCCTGTAGAACTCAATGATATCTTGGATGGACCGGAATCGTGCAGCAGAGAATGATGTCGTTCGTGGCACGTTCGACATGGAAACTTTGAGACATACTTCATCGATTGATGTCTGCTTCACAGACAGTTCCAGCACAACTTCTGCGTCACGAATTCTCGGCGATGGCGTAAATCCTTCCCGAGAAATACTGGGCAGTTGCGTAGGACGTGGTTGTCGGAACAACACAGCGTACAAGACGTGTTTGAGCTGCAGGATGCAGCGGCGTTTGCTGCGAACTTGAACTTGGTGGGCTTCGGAACGTTGCCGGCTACCTTCGAAGATACCGGTTGCTGCTGTTGATCGTAGACGACGGAGTTTAATACTCAAACACGGTGGTAGAGGAACTCTACCAATTCGTCATACCTAACGTCATCCATCTCAATAGTATTCTCTTCCCAGGATCACAAAGTGGATTGATCCAGCTTGTATGACAGCATGTTTACCAACGGAGTATCCCAATCAGCGTTGCCAGAATGTTTTTAAGCTTATCGGTATCAAAGGTTTAAAAAATCGGTATTTATCGGTATTTACAATTAACCACTTTATTCGAGCACTTAAAATGACGTTTACTACCACTCGAACTTTGAAATAAAACATTATTTTGAGATTTTTTCTTCTAGAACCTCGAGAAAAGTAGCCAACATTTGTGCGTTTCATAAAAAATATTAATTATTTGGTCCAGTTTTGTGAAATCGCTGGTAGAAAGTCACGCCAAAACTGCTTGACAAAGTGGTCAATTTTAATTAATTTTATATTTTTGCCGTTTGCGAAAATTCAACTTTTGGACTATGGATCGGAAAATTCTGGAAGAAAACACAGGGGAATGTTTGAATAAGCTTCTGGAGGAAGCTGAAATCAACATCTAGAGAAAGAAGAAAGAAGCTCTCCTGGAGGAAATTTGAGTAAAGTTCTGAGAGAAGTCGGAAAAAACATCCGCGGAAGTTCCAATTGAGAAACTTCTGGCGAAAAATTAAAGAAACTTTCAGAATAAAATCGGATTTCATATTCAAAGGAAGGCAGAGGAGTTTCGGAAATTGGAAATAAATTCCAGCAGAAGCCATTTCCATGGGAAGCCAGAAGAAGCTCGAAAAAACCTTCCAATAGAAGTCATAAAAAAACAACTGGACAAAATTCCAGAACTAGACGAGAGAAATTTCTGCGAGAAGTTTAATTGAACTTCCTGGAGAAGACGGAAGAAACTTCTTGGAGACACTGGCAGAAACGTCCTAAGGTAGATTAGTAAAAAAAAATCTGGAGGAAGTCGAATGAAACAAGGAAAAATTCCGGAAGAAATAGCTCTTGGAGGATGTCCTAATGATTCAGAAAATTTTCCAAATGGTCATAAAACATCCCTGTAGACCCCGCAATGCCCCTGAAGTTTTGGAACATTTCTGAAATGTAGTTAGGAATATTCCATATTTCCTCGGAATTCCTTAAAAATTCTTGTAATTTTCCTTAAGTTAATAGGGCTGTTTTGGAGTACTCTGATCATCTTTGAAATACTTGAAACTTCCCTGATTATAATGAGACTACCGGAATATCTCTAATCAACTTTGAAGGTCTCTAGACTTTCTTGACGATTAAGAAATTTCTTAGGCACTCTCGCAATTTTCTTGAATTTATTGTAGCATCAGCATTGAAGTTCTCTGATCTTCCCGATTTTTCTAATTTTTAAAAGTTATCGACACTGCCATTAATAAGCACGGAACTTCCCATAAAATGTTCTCACAATGTGCTAATGTTCATGTAACTTCCCTTACGTTTCTTAAATTTGCATGAGCCCCCCGGAACCCCTGCTTAAGTTTTAGGATATTGCCTGAGTTTCTCGGAACTCCTTTAAAATTTCAACGATTTCCTTGAAATTTAATAATCTGTCCTGATGTTCTCGGAGCTTCCTAAGGTTCTCTCAATTCTCCTGAAACTAAACTGTCCTGAAAATCTTTAATTTTCCAGAAGTTCTTTGGACTTGTGAAGTATCCAAAATATTTATGATGTTTCCGTTCACTGGAGTTCGCTGGACTTTCCTAAAATTTCCGGATTTTGAATTTTAACACAAGTTATTGAAACATTCTTTAATTTATCGAAACTTACTCAAAAGTCTGGACTTTTCTGAAGTTTCAGAAAGATACAAGTCTCTCACAATAATTTTCTCAAAAATTTTGAGAGCGGGCAGGCAATAATCATTTTGATTATTTAAAAAAATCGGTATAAAACTTTAAAAATCGGTATTCTGAAATCGGTATAAACACCGATAAATCGGTATATCTGGCAACGCTGATCCCAATGCTTGACTGGTTCGTTCAATTTCACGAGTGCCCGTACATGGCGCTGGAAATCGTCGACCAGGCTATGGTAAAGCCCTACAGTAAAAGTATGAACGTCTGTCAAAAGTTGTTCCAATCGAACCGTCAAAATGCACCACTTTGCTCGATTGGAACCGAGATTGCAACAGCTTTTTTCAGTTTTTTGGTGACAGTCGACCATACTTTAACTAGAGGGCTTTACTTCGAATGACTGCAAAAGGTATTGCGGCGACCGTCGGTTGTCATTCCGAGACGCCTTCTCGTCCATGGTTCACTCCAATGCTGACTGTGAGAAGCCTTAATGGCGGCGTGGCAGGTCGATCTGCGGTAAACGTAGGTGGAAGGTGGTTGGAGGAAAAGTCAATGAGTTGTTCAGCTGGGCCTGATTTGTATCAACGGAACTGTTCGGATTTGCGACTAACACGCCGCGGTGAAACTGGGGGATTTGAAAACGGTCACTTGAACTTT